AGTATATGTTAAATAAATCATGACCAAAATATTTTATTTACTTAAAGGTATTTATTTATCTATTTACTGAATAAATAATCACGACTTCATTAGTATTTAAAATGAAATGTTTAAATTAGTACGAGGTACTTACGTCCTGTAAATAAAATCAATCATTTCTTAATTATTTTATTTATAACAATTGTTTATTCCATATACTATACAAATAATAGGTCTATTTCTATAAAAATCACATTTACACTCTTAGAGGTGAACCACGGTATATTTACCGAGTGGATGTTAATAAAAATTTTAATTTGACAGAACCATTCGAATTGCCTTTATGAGTTTATCAACTCATATATCTCTACTTTTTACTCGTCACGGTAGAACTTATCACGGTAGAACACGGACTTTCCGTGGAGAGAGACAAGGAAACATTACTCTGGGCATTGTTTGATAGTTACGCTTGTATTTTTATTAAATTGGTATTTTAACAATAACGGTGTAACGCAAATTGGGTTATATTTTGTATAAATTATGTAAAATTTCATGAAACAAAACTTTTGAAACTACATTGAAAAAATAGTTTTAACAATATACAGTTTTGTATAATAGGTCAGAGAAAAAGTCTTTTTATTTTGTATTTTGTATGAATAAAATAACTAGATGGCGTTGTGTGAATGTGGTAGAAAAAAAAATTGAAGAAAAATATCTTTGGTTGTTCTGTTTGTATCTGGCTGGTTTTAATATCAATTTATATAGGGCATAGATAACACCCTGCTGAAGCATTATAGACCCATCTCCCTTCTGAGTTATGTCTGTAAGCTCCAGAGAGATGTCTTTAAGTTCCCAAGAGTCATTACTCGTCATCCTTAGAGAGTATTACATCGTATAGAGATTTGACAACTTCTAGCCTCCCCAACTAACCAGTTTCTGAACAGACTTAGGACCATAGACCTCATATGTACGCTAATTATAAAGAAGTCCAAACGAAGGCGTTTGTGGACTCAGAGAAAGCTTTTGATTCGATCGAAACTTTGGCTGTGCTACAGTCTCTCCAGCGGTGTTAAATAGACTATCGGTACATCGAAGTGATCAAGTGATTGTTATTTAACATAATGTCACATACATAATATTTGTAATTAAATATTATTAAACTTTGTTTTAAATGTCGAATTTGTATACAAAATAGGAAGAAACTTTTTCTACGACCTTTTACCTACTAGCGCGATGCTGATAGTCGCTCTACGTTAAAACAAATAAAATAATTCACAACTCACCGCTGGTGCTGCCTGCAGAAATGTAAAATTGCGTTACCATTGGATATTCAAACATACTATTTACTCATTAAGACATTATAAAAAACACAAGTTTTATTGTAAAAGTAAATATAACATTACACTATTTTTACTGGAATAAGTCGAGTGAAATGGATTGCAAAGTTATGTAATTTTCGGAACGCGACCGAAAAATGAGTAACAAGACCTTTTTGGCTACACTTAGTTGGCGCTCACATCTTTTTCATATTTCATACATATAGCAAACGTCTACCAAAAAGCAACAAGAACTTGGGGGTGAGTATGTCGAACTCGAACCGACTAAACCCGGACGCTATCTCGGGTACCAGTAGCTGGCGAACCAGGTGTACACTAGAAAGGAAATCCCTCGCACCCTGACAGACCCCGGACCATCTACGGCTTGTATATGACCTTCTATTGTGTGAGAACCATGATGTTCTCTTCCTACTCCCTAAAGAGAGCTCACTTAACCGTTGTAGTTTTCCTTTTAAGTTATTCCCACCCCAAGATTAATAATAAGTAATTAATTATAGACCATGTAAAATTGCAGTGTTCTATTTAGTACTAACAGTTTCTCAGTAAAGCCGCAGAGGAACGGACAGACGTCGGCGACGGACGGATAAATAAAACAAACGATGGCTTGGGGCAAGGGATTCTTTAAACACTCATCGATTTGTGTTTGATAAAATTTACTTTCTCTGACTCATTTCTGAGGCTTTCTTAGTTTCAATTCTCCAGAATCAACGTTCACGTTGATTGCAGATCTGAATCACTATTTGAACAAGACCGATTAGAAATTTCCTTTACTGCCCGAATAACATCCAAGAGTCTGTTCATAATTCTATTTTAAAAGGGATTAATGTATAAATTAATACAAATTACTTACCTCCTGTAAAAGAATAAAGTATGGGTAAATTCAAATATTGATGCCATACACGTGTTACAGAAATGTTGTTTATTTAATACAAAGAACTTATTAGTAAAATACACAACTTTATGTTCTCTAACGACATGGTCAATTCTCGTTATAAAAATCGATAATAAATTCATAAATTTCATAAAAGGCAACCGTAACGTTTTGCATTAATTGCATTAGTGCATTCGTTTAATACCTTAAATATTTTTTTGTCTAATTTTATAAAATTCAATGTCGATCGTGATTTTGATGAACCATTTTGTATACATTGTGCATGCCTTGTGATAGAATCATTTGAAACATGTGCATTTAACAACACTGTTGTAACAGTGATTTCTGCAAAAATAAATACTGGCTGAGCTGAGAAAAAGTCTGGCTATTCAAGAAAACTCAATTGTTTGGTTCACGGAAAGAAACCTAATGTAGCGAACTTAAATTACAGATTTATTTATTTATTTATTTAATCTTAGGTTTGCCTACAATTGTTACACCTTTCTTAAAAATAATACATGCATGTTTTATAGAATATAGGTGTACAAAATTAATTGGCAAACACAACATTTATGAAAAAAAACGGATATTAGGGTAACACATGATCCACCCCGTCAATAAAAAAAAAAAAAAAAAAAAAAAAAAAAAAAAAAAAAAAAAAAAGGGGTAACACATGATAGATAACTTGTACTCGTATTATTTTTACAATTCAAAGATTGCACTTGCACTTACTGTGACAATTGGTGGTTTAGAGAAAAAAATGATACAAGAGAAAAAAAAAACAGAAAAAAAAAACAAGTAATCGACAAAAGGGTTATAAAATAAACACAGAGCTAACAAACATATTATATACATACATATTTGTAAAACTCATAGTTGACAGTCTGATTTAATCTGGCTACTAAAACTGATTAATTCTGCCGCGATCTTGGCTCTTAAATCTATTAAGACTGGTGTTAAGCATGTCAATTTTTTTACCGAACTTATTATAAAGTCTAGTCAGTCTGGGTATGGGAGAGTAAAAGCCGAGGACCGTTTTACGTGATGGTGGGTACAGTAGATTGACAGGATTTCGGGGATACTTGCGAGGGACATTAAAATTTATTTTAGATAATAATTGAGGGCAATCAATATAATTATTTACTAGTTTATATAAAAAAATTAGGTCGAGTGATTCTCGTCGTGTATCAAGCGATATTATATTAAAGGTTTGTAGTCGCTTAGCGTAACTTCGCGTCCTTTTTGAGACACCAGCGGAATAAGCTAGATGATGCAAGAACCTTTTTTGAATGCGTTCTATTCTTAGACTATGCGTAGCATAGTGCGGCCGCCAAACGACCGAACAGTATTCGAGAACGCTTCGAACAAAACAGTTGTACAATACTGTTTTTGTTTTTGGGTTGTGGAAGGGTTTGGCATTGCGAATTACAAAGACAAGCGCTTTTGAAGCCTTCTTGATAGCTGTATCAATATGAGGTATAAAAGTCAGTTTTTTGTCAAGAATAACGCCCAAATCTTTTATACTCTCACTTCTGTTCAAACAATAACCATTCATACGATAAGCTTTAGGTATTTATACATTGCAGTTTTCTGGTAAAAGTAATTTGGCTGCATTGATTGATGTTCAGTTTCATTTTGTTTCTGGTACACCAATCTAAAAGATTGTTTATGTCGTCCTGGAGCAACATTGCGTCTAAATCCGATTCCATTACTTTGACCCTTTTTAGGTCATCTGCGAATAAGAATGGTATTGAATTTTTCAAATAGTCTGACAGATCATTTATAAAAATATTGAACAATAATGGACCTAGGTGTGACCCCTGAGGTATACCAGAAGTTACTTTATATGTACTAGATCTATATCCATGGGCTATAACGTAAAAAGATCTATTAACTAAGTATGAAGAAAGCCATTTGAGAAAAGATCCTGCAAAGCCATATTCAGCTAACTTCCCAATTAATATGTCATGAGGTACCTTATCAAACGCCTTACAAATGTCAGTATAGATAGCGTCGATTTGTTTGTTTGAGTCGACTGCTTCAACGACATGTTCAATAAAATACACTAAATTGCTACAAGTAGACCTACCCGGGACAAAGCCGTGTTGGTTGTTCGATACGAACCTTTTGAATTAATGGGCATAATAAAGATTCGAAAACCTTTGCTAAAGTTGACAAAATTGAAATTGGTCGATAGTTACTTACCAAATTACTTTCACCTGCCTTATATATCGGCACTACTTTGGCAAGTTTCCATAGGTCAGGAAAAAATCCAACTCGAAGAGATTTATTAAAAATTAAATCCAAAGGCAGCGCAAGTTCATTTGCACATTCCGATATAAAGCTCGGGGGAATTTGGTCATAACCCGAACCTTTGGTGACATCCAAAGATTCAAGTTTTTTTAGAATCTTTTCGCGGCTCAAATAAGTGATATTAAAGTATTCAGCATTATCGATATTCTTTAGATGACTAGTAACTTCATAGATGTTCACTGGTCGAATAGCTGATGAATAAACAGTAGAAAAGTATGAACCAAACATATTGCAAATATCGCCACCGTCGCTTGATGTCACTGAGCCATCAGACATAGTGGCCGGGTAAGTTTTTGCAACACTGCGCCTTGTTTTTATATAAGACCAAAAATGTTTTGGATTGGCCGAAATTTTTTGTTCTATATGAGCAATATAAGAATTGTAGCATTCCACTGATAATTTTTCACACTGCTTACTGCAGGAGCGAAAAGCAACTTTGTCCATTGGGTTTTTATACTTGTTATACCTCTTTCTGTAGTTATTCTTTTCACGAATTAACCTCAGAAGACTTTTACTAAACCATGGTGGATGTGAACTGTCTTGAACTGGAGTTGAGGGGACATGTTGCTTAATTACTTGATTTATAGCACCATAAAATATTTCAAGCATACTATTAGGGTCGTCATTGCTATGAAAAAGTTCATTCCAGTTAATTCTATTAAGTTCATGTTTAATACTAGAATAGTTTGCTCTTTTAAAGTTTAACCTGGTGGTATTGTCACAATACTTTAAATTATTATCTAATTTAGATTGTAAGGCTATTTCTAAAGGAGGGTGATATGGGTAAATTTTTACCAGACTATGATCGGCTTTCTCGACTCTGCAACGCGAGTAATTAGTAAGTACTAGGTCTAAAACCTTACTCCTGGCATTTAAAATACTAATAAATTGTTTAAAGTCATTGATATGCACAAAATCTATCAGGGCTTGATTGATTTTACTATTAGTTGTCATAATAGGTGGCGCATGATAGTCTACGGTGTCGTTTACAGCCGCCCAGTCTATGCCACTCAGGTTGAAATCACCAATTAAGTTACTTTGAGATTCAATAATTTCTGACACTAAGGTAAATTTATCTATAAAGTGCTCCAACGTACCATACTGTACTGGGGGTGGTGGATAAGCTGCACAGATAGAAATTTTGAAATTAGACGTCACGCTGACAGTCACCCACAGATCCTCGCATTCACTCTCCCAGGTAAATTCTCTAGTAGTGATAAACTTGTTAGCAACAGCGATTACAACCCCGCCTCCATCTTTGGTTTTGTGAAAACCTGTGGTTTCCCTATCACGTCTAAAAACATTATACCGTTTATCAAAAAGTTCAGCATTGAGAATACTATTGTTAACCCAGGTTTCGGTTAATACCAAAACATCATAATTAGCACATGCCAAGCTACGATAAAATTCATTGGTTTTTGTTCGCAATCCCCGAGTATTTTGATAATATATATTAAGGTAAGTGAATTTTAACAAACAGTACCATAAAGATAACATGCCTACATATAAGAAAAAAAAAAAAAATAAACATAAAATTTAAGTTATTACACTCCAAGAATCAAAGTCTTTTATAATCCTGTTCTCGGAACTCTCATTTTTTTTGACGTAGATGCGTCCATTTCGGATCCAAACGTACTTGTAGCCCCTCTCTTTCGCCTTAAGGCGGGCAGCTGCATGCAGTGCTCTATTGTTCGGACTCAGGTGCTCACTAATGTAGATGGGAGTCTTGTCACCATCTAAGCCGAGATGTGAAGTGTTTAACTTTTCCTTTATTGGTTTAGATTTATTGAAGGTTATCGATGCGGCCAAAAAAGTGTCTCGTAGTCTAGGTGTGCTAAATTGAACAATTATAGATTTTGGGACGATTATTGGCATTATTTTGTTTCATAACGCGCGTACACTTAGTAATACTTTCCTCCTTAATGTCGCAGCCTACGGTTTCACCCAACTTAGATACAACGTTGAACAAATTCTCATTACTTTTCTGGGGCACACATTGTATTTCCAGATTATTTGCTCTGGCGTGCTGTTCCAAGCTGTTTATACGAGCAGACATATCTTTTACAGTATGGGTCAGATTGGTATTTTCGTCTTGTAGTGCTTTAATCATTTGTTTACTTTCATTTTTATCATTTAATATGTCATCATATTGGTTGCTTATGAAAGCCATCGAATTCTTCAAGCTCTCGATATCTTCACGCATAATGTTTACCTCTTGGCTCAGTATGGTGCGCATATTACGGGTAAGCCTTTCCAACATGACGTCCATTTGAGAATTCATAACATCCTCTATAACAGCGCGAACACCATCCTCTGTTATCGGTATGTTTGATGTGTTTGGTGGAGATTGCAACGCTGGTCTCTTGTTGGTGCGCACATTTATGTTCGTATTAAAATGAGCAGGCATTGGTTCTTTGTTCTTGCTGCTGCTTGTGCAAGAATGACAAGTCCACTGGGACAGCTCACATGACAGGTCTAAACCCAAACATTTGTGATGGAAGACTTTACTACAAACATTGCATTGCAAAGATTTTCCACCCGTGCCCTTCAAGGTACAGCAACCCCAAGTAACCATAGGTTCAGTCATGCTATCAATGGAAGAGTTCAAGATCAAGGAATAATATTAATGTTTTCCCTCGCTATAAGTGCACAAAAACAAAGGCCCCGGTACCATCAATCAGCAAACCAATATTATTTTTATTCTGAATTGCACACTAATAAAGGCTCTCGGAAGCACGGTATCTAGCGGTCGCGCCCAAAAAGTCGTAAGTGCGCCTCATACGGCGTCGCTTACGCGTTCACACCAAATCTCTCGTAACAAATTGTTGGGGGTACACTTAATACTTGTCTTAAAATTACCAGTCTTTTAGACTTGAATTATCTTGAAAATCACAACACATACGTAAATTTTTTATCACCAACACATAGAACGCCGTTTTAAGCAATGTTTTTACTACAACCTTTGACTGTAACTTCACTTTTACCACGTAAATAACATTTAATTTGATGAGGTGTCAATAAAACAACTTATCGATCCGACCGTTAAGACACTTCCTTCCACTTCCTTCAGATGCTTAGTTTGTTGCTAACTTAAAGAGGCAATATCATAAATATATAAGTAAAAAATTAAAACTTACGTCCTGTAAATAAAATAATACGTTATATTAAATTGTGTTCATTTAATATACTCTTATCAAAATGATTATACTGAAATTGATGACTATAGGGCGTAGGGGCGAACAAGCAACGAGCGGGAGATCATCCCTTCGGTAACTGTATTATTTGATTTTATTATTTTTGCACAAACAGCAATTCATTGTACAATGGCGGACTTAATGCCACAGGTATTTTCTCCTAGTCTACCTTTGGGTGGTGGGGAAATGTCTGAGAAGGTGCACTAGAAATTAAGTTTTATGTGTAACTAGATAATAATAATTAAGGATATGGACAGGACCAGTGTGACAGATATACATACATACTAAGATATACATACATATAATTATATATACATATAATACACTATTTAAAACTTTAGGGATTTGATGAATCTGCTAGTGTCGAGAATTTGAGCTCGGACTTTAGTCTTAACTGAGAGGCGGCTGGGTGCTATCCCGATTTCCAAAGGCAGAGCTTTACAAATTCGGTTAAAAGCAACAAAGGAATCACTTAACATCGGCTTTAAGAGATACTCAAGAGTTTGTATGTATTTAAAGTAACATACAAATTGGTACGAGTTACTTGGGCTTAAAACAATTTACACATGTCTCGAAACTGCGGCAAGCCGTTGCGTTTAAACGATGCGTAAGGGTAAAAATTAAGGACAGTTCACAGTTTATAGCAATTCATCATATTTTATGAACATTAAAGTAATCGATACTTTTAATGGGATGATTGTACTTAATACTGATATATTTGTACGCCAAAATGGCTGAACATGACTGTCTATCATCTAATTTACTACACATCTTGCATGCCTGCGTATGAATATTCATGTTTTAACAAATAAAAATATCTTTGTCTCTTAAAAAAGTTAAATATATAGTTTCTGGCAGACTTTATGGTTACAAGGCATATTTATTTTTTAAATCGTGACTTACTTGTGGCTGTAACAATGCAATTCATAGGTTAGTAACAACTAAAGATCGTCCGTGTGGTGATGGATTAAGAATACGGAGTGTCACTACCTTAATTCGTCCCGTGGGTGTCATAAGAGCCGAGCTTAGGGAGCAAACTACACAGGACAACAGCACTGAATAGAAGGTAAACTTGACACAAACCCTACTGGCCAGCGTGGTGTATATGGTCACTATAAAAGTTTTGAGACGCTCGAAATTTCAAAATGGAATGCATTATTAAACATCCACGCCCAGATGCATGGTGTTCTGAGCGTGGGCGTCCAGCAGGGGGGTTCTCTAACGCTAGCGCTGCTGTTACCCCCCTGGGGTAGACTGCTGTTCAAGGACGCTATCATAAGGGAGGGTGTCAAGCGCGGCCTCACTCAATCGGCGAAATGCAACACGGAATTGCTTGACGACAGTTTTCTGTGAGGCCACGCTGGTTATACGGGTTGGTATAGGGTTTGTTTCTAGTTTTCCGCAGGGGTCTGTCCTAGGACCTCTCCTGTGGAACATCGGGTACGACTGGGCCCTACGAGGGCGTCTCCCCCCCGGGCTGGGTGTAATCTGCTACGCGGATGACACCTTACTCACGGCCCGGGGGGCTAACTTCCAGGAGGCGGCGCGCCTGGCCGCCACGGGAGTTTCCCAGGTGGTCGGGCGCATTGAGGCGTTGGGATTACGGGTGGCCCTGGATAAGACGGAGGCCCTATTATTTCATGGGCCCCGTCCTGGTCCACCCGCCGGCGCCTCAATCGAGGTCGGCTCGGTCCTCGTACCGGTCCGGGCCCAGATGAGTTATCTGGGTCTGGTCCTAGACGGTAGGTGGCTCTTCGACGAGCACTTCCGACAGCTTGGTCCGAAGCTGGTGGACACTGCCTCCGCCCTAGGGCGACTTTTGCCCAATTTGGGCGGGGCCAGTGTTCCCACGCGGCAGCAGTACGCGAGGTTGTCCGGTCCATGGCTCTTTATGGTGCACCGGTGTGGGTGGCGGCTCTGACCGCACCGAATAGGGCGCGCCTCTGGCGCCCCCAGAGGATATTGGCGGTCAGAGCCATACGCGGATACCGCACGGTGTCCACCGAGGCGGCTTGCGCCTTGGCCGGAACACCCCCGTGGGATTTGGAGGCGGAAGTGCTCGCCGAAGTTTATCGGCGAGTGGCTGACTTCCGGGCGGAGAGCGGATTTCGCCCTCCACCCGAAGACGTGCGCGAGTGGCGCGAAGCCGCTCGCCGAGCCACCATGGTCAGATGGTCGTTCCGGCTGGAGACTCCACGCGCTGGCTTCGCCGCCGTGGAGGCTCTCCAGCCGGTCATCGCCGAGTGGGCAGGGCGGCAGCACGGGACCCTTTCCTTCCGGCTGACGCAGGTGCTTTCCGGGCACGGTTGCTTCGGAAAGTACCTGTACTCGGTCGCTAGGAGGGAATCGAGTCCCGCCTGCCACCACTGCGACTGCAGCACACGCTGGCGGTTTGCCCCGCATGGGCGACGCAGCGCTGGGCCCTCACTGCAGTCATCGGAGCAGATCTCTCGCTACCGGCCGTAATTCGCTCCATGGCCGGTAGCGACAGTTGTTTTACCGCGGTCGCAACCTTCTGCGAGGAGGTAATCTCGCAGAAGGAGGCGGCGGAGAAGGCCCGGGAGGACGACCTCCACTCGGACCCGATCCGCCGCCGGCGAACCGGGCGGCGGAGGCGCGCTTACCTGCGCCTCATGCCGCCCTGAGTGTGGCCGCGGGTGGACGGGATGGGTTCTCCCTTCCACCCGCATTAGTTTGGCCAGCCGCGAGGGGGCGGCGGCCGCGTGTGCCGGACGTCGCCTAAAAAGAGAGGTCCTGGAGACGGAGCCCGCACCAGGAGCGGGCCGGCGCTGGGAGGGGTCCAGAAGGCGATAACTACCTGGACCCCTCCTAAACTAGAAGCGCAAAGAGGGCACACCGTGTGGTTTTAGTCGGTTCGAGTCCGACACACCGCCCCGCCGAACGAGAGCCCCGGCGGGGTGACGGTCCGAGGGGATTTCCACACGTAAAAAAAAAAGGGATTGTTTCTAGTTTTTCTTCTCATTGCAGTGTTGTTGTCTCTTACGACACCCACGGGATGGATAGGGGTGGTGACTTTTCGTATTCTTAATCCGTCACCACAAGGACAGTATATACATAGTTTTATTCCTGAGTCAGGACATAGGCTAGGTACTTTTTATCGCAATAAACTGACATGCTCGTGGGCGGAGTCGCGGGCAAAAGCTAGTGTTGTATATTCCATTATTACTATACTTACGTATGCATGTGATTCATTGATTTTCCATATTAGCAGAAATATGATAAAAATTCTCATCGTGTAATCTGTAAGTATAAATGTTTGTATTGTTAGTGTATCTAACAGACGTTGTCCTGGGCCTCAATTCTGCTATTTTATGTTCACGCCAAGCCACTCTCATACCACTGACACGCTATTGAGATGCCATCGAGTGGCCATTGGCATCGGTATAAATATCGGTAGTCTACACTAACTCAGTGTCTTTACAGTGGCGATGGAATAGCAGTGGCTCATCAGTGGTGATATAAAGATTGCTATATCTGAAAAAAAAAATAACGTGAACATAAAATAGCAGAATTGAGGCCCAGCTCCATTATTAATTTTTTGGTGTTATAATTATTATTATTTTTATCTTTATTTACGGAGCTTGACTACAATTATGACCATGTCGCTGAATCATAGCTATTTGTTTTGAACTAATCTTAAGTATTCAAAAAACAAACTTTAAATAGCCTTAGCTGAATCTATCAAAGACTGGCCAGGATGTTGTTAAATTTTCCAATATTGAAACAGCTTCATTTCACACATCTCACACACAGCCGTCTGATCCCAAACTAGGCAAAGCCTGTGCTATGGTAACCAGACTGCTGATGAACGTACTTATATATTTCTAAATACATACATATAATAGATAAATTACACCCAGACACAGAACAAATGACCGTGCTCATCACATAATATTTGTTCTGGGTGGAAATCGAACCCACGACCTCCGGCTTAGCAGTCAGGGTCACTAACCACTAGACCAACAGGCCCGACTTCTATAAACAAATTAAAATGTCCCAACAATAAATAATCCTGTTAATTGCAGCTTTAATATAAAGAATGGATTGGCGAAGCATGGCAATCATAGACATCAAGGCTATTAGAGTGTACAATGCATTACCGAATTAATTCAAAGACTTACCAGTAATTCTGTAATATAAAAAAAACTAACTTTATAGCTTGCGCAGAAAAACGGTACTACTCGTATATATGCATATTTAAAATGACTTGCCCTGATAGGCTGATTCATCAACACAGAGTCTAAACCGCTGGAGCTACTAACTTGAAATTTTGGCGTAGTGGTTTAAGCGGTCGCTACACCGCTCACTACGCTTAGTGTTGTGGGTCCGATGCCCTACATGGGTCGACACTTTGTGTGATCCACAAATTGTTGTTCTGAGTCTGGGTGTTCTTTGTGTCCGTTTCATGTAGGTTTTTAAAATACCCCGCGACACAGGATATATTCCTAAGGCGCGAGTTGTCTTTTTATTTTAAAAAAATATGCACAGATGGCGTAGTGGTTTAAGCGGTCACCTCGCCGCTCACTACTAACGCAGAGTGTTGTGGGTCCCATCTTCACATGGGACAAAACTCTGAGTGAGCCACAAATTGTTGTTCTAAATCTGGATGTTCTTTGTGTCCGTTTCATGTTTGTTTGTAAAGTCCCCCGCGACACAGTATACTCATATATTGATAATGCGGGAGTAGTTTAAAAAAAAAAAAGCACCTACTAAAAATTTCACACCTAAGGGGGTAAAATAATTCAAATGTAGAAACACGAAATAGTAAATAATCACAAAGCAACGCCGCGAGCAAGTAGTACATAGAAACTAGTGATTTTTCTTTGAATTGGTGATCTTGATGATCAATTATCAATGATGAACATGATCAATGATCAATTACGAGTTTCATTAAGAAGAACTGAGAAGAGGAATTACAAATATTTGCACCGGTTTTAGAATAGTTGCTTATGGTTGAAATTAGTTAATTCCCCAAAAATTTAGTTCTATACATAGAACCGATTTTTTAAATCTTAAAACAGATTATTTTTGTGTATTTGTAGTTAATATTTGACGTCAGCAAAGTCTGACGTCACAAATTATTACCATGTGTTTTACGCCGTTGTGAAAAGGGCAGTATTGATTATGACAATTAGCTATGGTATTGTGCTTATTATTAGGATAGCTTAGTTGACCACTTATTTGTATAAAAAACCGATTTACTCAATCCTATACTATACCTTTAAAACAATTTTACCTAAAACTCCTGTAAAATGTATTTTCAAAATTTATTAAAAATAAAATAAATTATACACAAAACATAATAATTAAAAGTAATTAGATATTAACTACTGATCTATAAGAAAAATATGTTTTTATTCGCACCAATACGTCGATATTACAGTCGATTCTAGTCGAGAGATATTTGCAAAACGCGACTAGTTATGAAATTGGTAATCGTAAGTTTTTGATTACTTACAATAAAAATAAAGTTATAAAATTTATTTTCCTTAGTAAATACAAATTGAAAACGTATTCGCAATGTATGTATATATTCGAGAATATTCACAATAAATATTTTAAAATTTACTCTATACTTATAAGAATAAACTCGACTGAAATTAACTGGCGTGATGGTCTAGCGGTTATTGACCATGGCTACTAAGCCGTAGGTCGTGGGTTCGATTCCTATTCCTTGTGTGATGAGCACGATCAATTGTTCTGTGTCCCAATTACACACAGTATCTTATCTATGTTATGTATGTATTAAGTATGTTCATCAGCAGTCTGGTTACTGGCTCTGCCTGGTTTGGGATCATACGGCCGTGTGCGAGATGTGAGAATTTATTATGGTGTGAACTTAAACCCTATCGTTAATACAAAAACAAACACATTATAAACATAAATTTATTGAGATAGTGACCATCCTTTATACTTAAACTCACACATCTTTATTTCATAAAAATAATAATTTGTAATTGTGCCTCTAAAGTCATAGATCAACACACACAATAGCAACAATCTCTTTTTTGTCTAATATTTAGCAAACTAAATAGTATGGAAAATCTCTTATATGCCTGTGCCGATCTACAACTACCATTTCCAAGGGGTTGAGCCTCGTGAGAAGAAAGGGCAAACAAACTCACGGCCAGTCTTTTCAATCAACAGATAACCATGGCATCATTAAATATACACAACATTGTTTTGATGTGTTCCGGTTTTTAAGTTTTAAGGACTAGAAGGTAAAAAGGCAATAAAGAGAAAACAAGATATAGAAAAAAGACGGAATAAAAAGAAAGTGAAGTAAAAAGTTATAGGGATACGCTTGTTATGTCCAAACATAGGATCCATAAAATAAGTAACTTATTCCCAGGGTACATGTAACATGGGATGCGGGGTCGGGAACCTCCGCGTGGTGCACCCTGGGCAACGAAGACTGCAGCGGCCTCTCCCTGGGTGGGGGAGGCGCTGCCGCCTACGGCCAATTCCGGGCGAGAAGGTGGGAGCAGCCCTCTTAAGGTTTGCTCGGAGGCTTTCCGCGTGTACCTTTGTTTAGCGGAGGGCACAGTAGAGAGCAAGCAAGGGGGCGGACGGGTTCTCCATCGCTGGCATAGCCCAGAGGTGGTGGACACTGGTCTGATGCAGACCACCTTCCGGCCAAGTCGTAAGCCTGACTGGCAACAATCAGGAATGACGGCTCTTCGAGGGCTACGAGGAAGACAACCTCTATAAAAAATCGAATGATAAATCACCGGTGTATCACAGTTCACTGTGATTTTGTCCCATACCTAACATCATCATCATCAACAGCCTTTAATAGTCCACTGCTGGACATAAGCCTCTCCTGAGAAAGGAGGTTTTGGCCTACTATACCACGCTGGCCAGACGGGTTGGTAAAGGGTTTGTGTCAAATTTTCCTTCTCTGCAGTGCTGTTGTCCTGCTTAGTTTTTTCCCTTAGTCGGCTCTTACGACACCCACGGGATGAATAGGGGTGGTGACACTCTGTATTCTTAATCCGTCACCACACGGAGCATAATAATCTGCTCACTTCATTATGAAGTACTTATTAACGTATAAACACAAATAAAACAGTGAAATAAAAAAGCACATATATATTTATATTATATTACATTTTATGTACAAAATTTAATCTTGCTTGTTCATTTTGCTTCTTCAGATTTCTCTTGATAGGTTATGACACCTCTTTCTATTAATTCTGGAATTTCCACAGCTAACCAGGGCCCAAGCTGGAAAAAAAAATTATCTTGTCATTTTTCATCAACTTTTAAACTTTTGTGTTCCATGAAATATATTAGAATCATACAGTTAAAAACAGGTATTTAATGCGATAACATAATAGGTATCATATACCTGCTACGGTATCGCGATCACAGGCCAACTGAGGCTGTAGCCACAGCCAGTGTAACTTGGTCAAAACTTCGGGCAATTCAAATGTAATATTAATTACCTAGATTAGGGCCATCCATAAAATATGTCAAACGCAATGGGAGGGGAGAAATAAACATAGAGATGATATAAATAGAAGAAGCTCACTCTGTAAATGGTAGCGGACGGCCGGTAGACAGAGAAAGAAGCCTCTTTTAGTCTTTCATCTCTCTTAGCACACTGCACTGGTTGGCTGATACTGAAGAGGGCATTTAAAATAACCAATCAGTGATAAATGCAGAGAGAAATGCAAGATCAAAACAAACTTCTTTCTCTCTCTACCAAACGTATGCGATAGCGCCTTGTTTGTTTCCTCTAACATTGACATTATAAAACCTTAAATATACTTATTTAAGCATTAAAACGTGAAATTTAAGTTATTAACGGTTAACTTTAAAATATTTTCACTGGCAGTGCTGTTTTAATTTAATCATTTCTAAATGTGAAATCACAAAATGTGTTACGTCACGGAATAAGTGAGCATAACGAAGCTCAACCTCCCCTTACCCCTCACTATCATTATTTCTGGGGAGGGATACAAAGGCCTGGAACGCACTTGTCTCTTAAGTTGATGGTCACTTACCATCAGGTTTTCACCACCTGCTTCTTTGCCTCCCACACCATAAAAAAAAACCAACAGCCTCTGGCTCATCATTTAGGACCACTACCAGTTCATGAGGACAGTTAAAGTATTTAAAGTTTTACTTACACCTAAAGCCATGGCATGGGCTATACCAAACCTGGGCACATTTCTGGCCCACAGTGGCTTGAAATGGTCCGTCAAACAGATCTTCCCACCTCTATACATCTTAGCAGTTTTTCCATCTAGTCCTGGTAAAGCTAATTCTGGAGCTGTAGTAGGGTATGTTACTGGAATCTAAAACATTTATTTTACATAATTATTATACTTAGAAATATTCAGAATCAAATAATCATAGAGGAAGTGGAAATTAAATTTGACTATACGGATGGCGTAGTGGTTTAAGCGGTCGCCACGCCGCTTACTACAGTGAAATTAGTCTCGAGAAATTTTTGCATATGTAGTGGTGTGTATATTACTCAGATCTTAGAGCGCGTTTCCACTATATCGTTCTGGCCTATACAAAAATGTTTCGATATCCTAACATTACTATTTAATTTTCTACTTATCCCTAGCAACACTCTGATTTTAGTTTTCAATAAAAACAAGTTTTTATTTTAAAGAAAAAGGTTTTGACTTTATAAAAAAAAAAGGTGTGTGTGCGATTCACACACGATAGAAGTGAAACTTCAAAGAGGAGAGACCGATATTTAAATTTTTTTTTTTTTTTTTTTCGTTTCATCTAGGTTTTTAAAACTCCGGGGGGTCTACGGGGGGGTTAAAATTTTTGTTATTTTTGGCCTAGGACGCACCGTTTCCGAGATATTTCAATCTAAAGCAAAAAATCGTCACTTGATAGTGGAAAGTGGAAACACGCACAAAACCAGAATAAACCAGTTTACGCTGTCCGTACCATACACTACTACAAACGCAAAAACTTCTCCAAGCTAATTTACCTGTACTACGCTGAGTGTCGTGGGTCCGATCCCCACATGGGACTACACTTTGTGTGATCCACAAATTGTTGTTCTGTGGTTGGGTGTTCTTTGTGTCCATCTCATGTATGTTTGTAAAATCCTCCGCAACACAGGATATATTCCTAATGCCAATAATATTGCCATTGAATATTTTTCGACTGGGCTACAAGGGTTCTCAGTTTATAAACTTTGAAATAATGTCATTATAATTTAATTTATATAGTACACTAATGCCTCTAAATATCACATCTATTTAATTAATAATATACGAGTAATAATATTCTACCACTTTCACACACCGCCATCTAGTCCCAAACTAGGCAGAGCTTGTACTACTAGGTAACTGATATCAGTACATATACTTTTTTTTGTAAATATATACTTCTTAAACATAGAAACACCCAGACCAAATCAAACATTTCATGTTCATGCACACGAATGTTTGACTTGAGCGAGAATCGAACCCGCGACCTTTGGAATAGCAGTCCGTTACACAAACCACTTCGCCATTCGGTCGTCTTTCAATTACATGTTATTTTTCGAAATTGCTGTTAATAAATCTACAATAAATAAAATAAATTAACACAAAGTATATTAAACAACTTATAATAACCCCTCTGGCCAACGTTGTATAGTAGGCGAAAATCTAAGGAGAGGCCTATACCCAGTAGTGGACTACTAAAGGCTGTGTATTAATGAAAAGGTTACTTACGTCAAATTCTAAGTCGAATTCATATTTCAGCAGGTTGTGGACATACCAGCATTTACCAAACCATTTGGTGCCAGTTTTGTCCGATTCTAAACGGAACCAGTCATTGTCAGCTGCCTTGTTGTTTTGCACATACTGAAATTGTATAAAAGCACCTTGGAAATTATGTATTATATGTAATTTGTTGGAAAGAAGGCTTAATTTTTTATCAAAAAATCGGTTGTCTGTAAAGTCGGTTTACTGACGATAGTTGAACGTGACAACGTCATAAGAAAATACTGATGGAATGGTTGCATTTTTCAAAAGAAAATTTTAATTACGCTTCATACTTGACGAAAACATGTAAATGTATTATTGTATAGCAGCTGTCAGCGCGGACGCATCGCTGACTCAAGTAGGAGAGAGACAGATGTCAAACGCTGCCGAACGCGGAGGCCGATTGTGCCTCTTTGTCGCTCGTTCCGCGCTCTCGCTTGCACTTCAAGCCTTAAATGGAACGCCTCAGAGCGAGGTAACGCCGCATGCGTCATGTTTTTTCGTTCGTGCAGCCGGCTCCATCGAATTATAAGACGTTGTCACGTCAAAATCAATTAAAAACTTTGGTTCATTAGAATTATATTGAATTCTACTAGAGGGTAAATTTTTATTATTTTTATACTAACATAATTATTAAGAAAACAGTAAAAAAGAAATATATTATAATACAATTAAAATATATACAATACTACCTGACCCGGCAAATGTTGTTTTGCCATATACATTATTGTTGTATGTATTTTTCAATGTTAAATCATCACATCACATCATCAAATCAACAGCCTATACTAGTCCACTGCTGGACATAGGCCTCTCCTTAGAAAGGAGGTTTTGGCCTACTATACCACGCTGGCCAGACGGGTTGGTATAGGGTTTGTTTCAAGTTTTCCTTCTCTTTGCAGTGCTGTTGTCCTGCTTAGTTTGCTCCCTAAGTCGGCTCTTACGACACCCACGGGATGAATTGGGGTGGTGATAATTTGTACTCTTAATCCGTCACCACACGGACTGTAAAATCATAATTAAATAAAAATACAAAAAATTTGTAAAAAATATTTAAGTGATAAGGGTGACTCCCTTTTCATTTACATCTATAAAAAATAGATGTTGGCCAATTATCAGACCTACCCAATATGCACACAAAAATTCATAAAAATCGGTCCAGGTGTTTCGGAGGAGTTTGGTAACAAACACTGCTACGCGAGAATTTTATATATTGGATTTACACTATTTACATACAAGCATCAAAAAATTCCTCTGCATCATCACCTACTGGTAGCATGCCCAGAAGACTGCCTGCATTGCCACGTTGAATGGCAATGCTAATTCTCTGTGCTAGAAAAAAGCAGGTCTTCTGATCACAAGAAGTGTTGATCAGTTGTTTATACATAGCAAAACTTTGGTAAAATTGTAATAACAATGAAAAATAATTATATTAATATATTTTATCAGTTTATTTCAATGTGTTACATTTCAGAAAAAAGAAAATTATCACCCAATTATCCTATTTCAGTTAACATATACCTTGGAAGACAGAATTATAGTTATTTAGCTCTAGTTTCATAATAATACTACAAAAATGTTGTACTCATTCTTTTGGCATTCATAATATAACATATGTGTCATAACGACAGCAGTAGGTAACATCTTAAATATTGTTTTGCAAACTCCACTTTTTAATTCACTAAGCAACCCAATAATAACTTTTTTTCTATATTTTTTTTGTATACATAAGTACCATATAGATATGCGCTTATGCATTTATACACAATAAAAAAGAAAGTACAGAAAAGGTTATTTACCTTGATCAGTGCTTGGTATTCTTCTTTCAGCCTATTTACCCACAACTCTTTGTCACGAGGCCCTGCCTTTGTTTGGAGAAGCGGTATACTGCTAAGAGTTTTTTTTGTACTTTCGTCAACCATTTTAGTAAACTTTCATTTATTTCATTATAAGGTTAAGTTGTAAGTATAACAGAACTATAAACTTTGTTCCTGTATCCGCATACGTGTTTGTGTGTATGACAACATTGACAAATGTCAGTCAGTGTCAAACGTCACGATGACGTCGACTATTCTATTATGATTACACAAGTCACAGATTAGATATAGAAATTATTAACGCACTTTTTAACTTCACAAAATCAAGAGTAAACCATAAAAGGTTGCAGGTTTGGTTAAAGGTTTCGGAGCAATTAACTTGTATTATTAATAAGAAAGTAATGACAAACATTAGGAACATTTTCTGACATCTGACACACAACGTCATATAGTTTCAAACTAAGCAGAGCTTATACTATGAAAGTTGGATTGACTTATAGAATACTTATATACTTTTTTTTTGTAAATCCACACATAGAAAACACCAAAGCTCCGAAACAAATTTTTGCAGATCACACAAAGATGGTCAACCTTAGCATCGAACCTGAAACCTCAGCATAGCAGTCACATACGCTACCACTGCACAACCGAGGCAGTTTAAATTAAAAATAATTTGGAACATATGTTTCTCAATCCCAGTAGAATTGTAAGTCTAAATAAATTTAAATTTACGGTAAAACGAAAATCTACTCAAGGGATATAGTGATAAATACTTTAAATGTCGTGAAAAGTATTATTGTTTTCCCTAATTTATGTGATATATCTATTTATTAGTTTGAAATTGCTTCATACCGACAAACTATTTGGATGCTGACAACACTCAAAAGTCTCTTGTAATCTTGTTGTGATCAGTGTTGCCAACCTAGTAGATTTTCCACTAAAACTGGTGGTTTCGACCCGCCTTTTAGTGGCAAAATTTTGATTTTGGTTGGTGGTTTTTTAGTTTTTGGTTAAAGTAATAGTAAGATTGCAGAGGACTTAGGAAACTCTGTAGAAAGATCAACTGTGACAACTTTTTGTGTAGGACTAGGAAAGGAAGGTTTTGGATTGGATATAAGTGCTCAGAAAGAGGCTTAATTTTAGGCAATGGGATGATGTAGACTGAGAATGTCAGAGAGAGAAAAAGGTGTCAGAGTCGAGCAAGACGTTGTGGCGACTTCCACATAGAAAGAAATGTCCCCAGAAGGCACAGAAGAAAAATGAAAGATGACAATATTGGGTCTGGACAGACTAGCGATATAATTAAGGGTCCGTGTTTAATGTTCCTTTTGAGTAGCAGAAGGGAAATGAAGATTAATATCAGTCAAACCAATGAAACTCGGTCCGTTGTTGTCTTCCAATGCCCAACGCAGACAAGGGACTTCGCAATTTTAAATGACCAATAAATAAATAAATACAAAATAACAAATGTGAAATTAAAAAAAAAGAACCAAAGAATCGTATTAATCTGGAACCAACGATGATGGTGCTAACAAAAAACCAGAACTAGTTACTGATGTACTTACGCATTTCATTCGTAATTAGAAGAAAAAGGTTTTGTGCCTATAGAGTAGTGTCGTTTTTCGTTTGTGGTTTTCTGGTGGTTTTAGATGTTAAATGTGGTGGAAAGTTCATTTAAGGGTTGGCAGCACTGGTTGTGATTTGTCAATAAATATAAAGTTCTGTGGTCTTATTAGTCTTAGATGGCCGTGATTACTATATAAATTATAATGATGGAAGGATAATAAGTTACTCCAGACTACAACTTTCACTTAATAATAATAGGTAAGTAATTGCCAATCATTTTCTTACATAGGCCTAGTAAAGTTTTACGGCCAATGTTTCCTAAGTATGTATTAAAAAAAATTGATGTGTTACGATTTAATATTTGTTTATTTTTCGTGCGTGCAATCTTTTTTATTATTTTATTGACACTATAATAATATATAAAAAAATCTACACTTTAAGACATTACCAGAAATCGATAGCGAATTATTTATAATTAAAATTAAATTACTTAGAATAAAATTCATATAATTTATGTGTGGGGTTGCCTAAAAAATATTAAAGAGGTGGAGATAATAGACATGGACGCGTCCTTTTTTTTTCTTTATTTAATTGCTAAATAAAACTTGCAAATTAACTAAATATGTATTCATAAGACACTTGTATACCTACTTAAATATTATGTTGCTTATCATAGTGTCACAATGGGATCAGAACAATCATCTGTACCTCCAAAGAAGCAGGTTCAAAGGCCACAACAAATGAGGCGAGGCCACACTATAGCTGTCTCAAATATACCAGGTAACAGATTGGTAATATTTTCCTGTAAGTTACTGATAATAATATTATAATGGACATAACTCACCATATCACAATCCCTTTAGAGCTTTGACAGATTTTACTGGCAGAGGAATATTATTTGAAAAAACAAACAAACATTTGTGTGCATGAACATTTGATGTTTGATTTGGTCTGGGTGTTTCTATGTATAATGTGTATGTATTTACAAAAAAAAAGTATATATGTATTTATATCAGTTGTCTAGTACCCATAGTACAAGCTCTGCTTAGTTTGGGACTAGATGGCGTTGTGTGTATGTGGTAGAATATTATTATTATTATTATATGGTATCACTGTTAGCAGAATCTCAAGAAAAAGTGACCTCTGATATACCCTATCTCTCTTTAAAGTACACTGCTTTAGATAAGCTGTTGGTATGAGCAAGAAACTGTAAAAGAAATAGTCTAAAACATTTTTTGTAACACAAATTATTTAATTTAATACCAAAATCTTAATCAAGCACAATTTAGATAAGGAACAGTCTTGTACACATATTGTGTGTATATCAAATGTATGTTAAATACACAAATACATTTTGCAGATACATCAAGATCATCAGATCCCACAGCCAGTGGCAACAATTCACCAGGGACGAGCATCTGTTCTGATTCAGAACTTCCGTACATATCATATACAGTTGATCGGCCTATTGGAGGTATGTGGCACATATGATTACATCTTATCATTTGGCTGCACAAATTGAGATAGAATTGAGCATAGACAAGAAAGTGATTGCTATTATTAAAAAAAAAAGCGAATCTAAGGGAATCAGCCAACATCTATTGTTCATGCCCCTAAATGATAAGGGTTACCCAACCCTAAATATTTTTTTTTGTCAATTTTTTTTTATTAATATTAAAAACAATGTTTGGCAGGTCAACTAGTAGAACATATAGTATTCTTAAAAAAAAACAATGAATAAAAAGAAGGCGTTTGTTTCCTTATCAAAAAAAAAATTGCAATTTGAAAATATAAAAAATAACACATTAAAAAATAAACCTATTTGTTGTGACCATGGATTATGACTTTGAGTAAGTATACAAATAACATTCTTATAATTGTTCACAAAGACAAACATAATTAATATTCCAGTACAACATTAAGTAAATAACATTCAAAGTCAGACAACAATTTAAATACAAGTAATCACAGACATTGTTATGAATCATATTATAATAATTTATCTGTTACACAATTATAAATGGGAGAGTTGTGCTAGCGGTGTTTTTAAAAAGCTAATTAATAAAAAAAAAACAAAAATCCCGATTTTGTGAAATCATACTTTACTACTCCACTGCTGGACAAAAACCGCTCCTAAGAAGGGAGGTTTTGGTCCTCCACGCTGGCAGGTTGGTATAGGGTATTCTCTCGTCCGGATGTCTTAATAACAGCTGTTCCCGGATCCCTCCTATTACAGGCGCAGAGTGGCACACCGTGTGGTTTTAGTCGGTCCGAGTCCGACACACCACCCCGCCGCAAACCCCGGTGAGGTGACGGTCCGAGGGGATTTCCACACGTAAAAAAAAAAAGGGTATTCTCTCGAATTTTCTTTCTTAGTTCTTTGCAGTGCTGTTTCAATAAATAATAATGTTAAAAGCGGCGGTAGCCCAGTGGTTAAGGCATTGGATTTGCGATTAAAAGGTCGTGGGTTCGAATTCCGACCAGTACACTACCGACGTGACCCCACTCTTAAAACAAGCAATTTAGCTGAGCTGTAGGGGTTAACTCGAATACTAGTAATTTCGGTTGCTAGTAATGCTTTAAGAAAAAAAAAACACGTGTCTGAATCCCAGATACCGGTATTGCGGTTTAACAATTTTCCTTCTCACTGAAGTACCGTTGTCCTGCGCAGTTTGCTCCCTTAGTCGGCTCTTACGACACCCACGGGATTAATAGGGGTGATGACACTCTGTATTCTTAATCCGTCACCACACGCACTTATTAGTCAAATCAAATGGCGGTCGCTTCCTCCACTCCTTGTTACACACACATTTTGTTATTTACTATTGTTACGAGCGGGGTATATATTTTTTTTTTTTCTTTTAAAAAGACAGCTCCCGCATTAGGAATAAATCCTGTGTCGCGGGGGACTTTACAAACATACATGAAACGGACACAAAGAACACCCAGACTCAGAACAACAATTTGTGGATCACACAAAGTGTCGTCCCATGTGGGGTTTGAACCCACAACACTCGGCGTAGTAGGAAGCGGCGTGGCGACCGCTTAAACCACTACGCCATCCGTGCAGTCCGTGCAAATAAAAGTTGTCGGTTAATTACTTTTATTGCACTGTATTTACTACACTAAACTAGAAAACACTATATATCTCGTTAGTCGCACTAGAAATTCATCATAATGAGGTGCCATCCTCAAAATGAAGTTTGGAGGTCAGCAGACGGTACACCTCTCGATCATAAGCGGCCTCCTTTAGTTGGCGATATCGCAGTCCGGTCCAGGCCACGATGTCATCTATCCACTTCCTTCGTGGTCGACCTGGTGTCCTCCTGCCTGGTATTTTTCCTTCTAACAGAAGCCTCAGGAATTCATGTTGCGGGCCCCTTTGTATGTGTCCAAAGAAGGCCACCTTCCTTTTCGCTATAACAGCCATCAGTTCTCTCCTGCACTTGGCTCGCTCCAGCACCTCTACATTGGATGTAAAACTAGTGGACGGGATTTTAATCATCTTCCGCAATAACCACATCTCGAAGGCTTGCAGTCGGTTACATATGTCTTTCCTTAAAACCCACGTCTCACACCCATACAACAGTGTGGACCAAACGTAGCATTTCATGACACGGTGCCTCAAAGTAAATGGGATTTTTGAATTCACTAGAAATTCACTCCGATATTAATTCGCTGTGTCGTAAAACGATACTGTGTTGAACGGCCAACACGCTTCGCTTTTATAACGCTATCGAATTTACTAGAAAGATCCCTAGTATTCGATAGTCCATTCCAGACAACCAAGAATATTCCAGAATTAGTCACGCGTTACTTGCAGCGCCATCTAGCGCTGTGTTCCGAGTCTGTGTGTTCTTTGTGTCCGTTTCATGTATGTTTGTAAAGTCCCCCACGACACAGGATATATTCCTAATGCGGGAGTTGTCTTTTTAAAAAAGAAAAAAGAAAGAAAGAAAGTATAGTTTTAGTATTTTTTGGCTAAACCGAAAACGTTACACTGCCAGCGCGGGCGCTATCTGCGTTGATGAATCAGTCAATTGGCAAGTAATTTAATACGTATAGAATATAGAAAACTAGCTGCACCCCGCGCTGTTACCCGCGGTTTATCATCCCACGCTCATTCCACTGGAACACCACATTTTTCCCGTGTAAAAAGTAGCCTGCCTTAATCCAGGGTGTCAGCTACCTCCATATCAAATTTTATCAAAACTGGTTCAACCGTTTGAGCGCGAAGAAGTAACAAATATACTCACAAACTTTCGCCTTTAGTTGTGTGATTAATTGTTAATTCAAATACACTTTTTATTGACAGATTCTCCAAAAGCATCAGCAAGGAACCAACGTACTACTGATAATAAGAAATCCTTACTGCAAAGGCGACAGTTGAGCCTCCAAGCCAGGAAAACGAAATTAGCGCGTGACATTATTGTAGTAAAACCAGCAACGGATGACCAGCTCGATGAGGATATACAGAGATTACAAGTAAATATTAAAACATATCATCATCAGCAGCCTTTAACAGTCCACTGGACATAAGCCTCTCCTTAGAAAGGAGGTTTTGGCCTACTATGCCACGCTGGCCAGACGGGTTGGTATAGGGTTTGTGTCAAGTTTTCCTTCTATTTGCAGTGCTGTTGTCTTGCGTAGTTTGCTTTCTTAGTCGGCTCTTACGACACCCATGGGATGATTGGGGGTGGTGACAATTCTTTATCCGTCACCACAAGGATAACGGGACCAATATACCGGACCAATATTAAAACACTTTTTATATTCTTATCAACGGATAAGCCCCCCTAAATTTTGTGCGCCCAATATTCCGCCACAGCCACGGCATTGTCCGTTGATCTCCACAGCTCGTCTACAGTACAGCTGAAGGGGCTCAGTGGACAAGAAAGCGAATGTTGTATGGTTTGCTTTGGAGAGCCCCAATTTGCCATGTTGCTCTTGGAACGATTCAGTAATCTCCATATTGGCCATTGCAATCGGTGTCCAGGTGGCAGGTTTTCTGTAGATTTGATGAAACCAGGATGTTTACCTGCCCAAAATGGTTTGAACACGCTTTTATTAGTTTTGTATCACATCAACAGCCCTTAATAGTCCACTTTCGACATAGGCTTCCCCTTAGAAAGGAGGTTTTGGCCTACTATACCACGCTGGCCAGACGGGTCGGTATAGGGTTTGTGTCAAGTTTTCCTTCTCTCTGCAGTGCTGTTGTTATGCGTAGTTTTTTGCCTTAGTCGGCTCTTACGACACCCACGGGATGAATAGGGCTGGTGACACTGTATTCTTAATCTGTCACCACACAGCTTTGTATATATCTATGTAACGGAATCTTTAAACGTGATTTTCAAACTAAAAAGTCGGATTGAATTAAAACTTCGCACACTGGATCAAGGTCCTGAAATTAGAGCGTTCCACCAAACTAACTCTTTTATGAAATGTCTCTCTCTTTTATGACATTAATATAAAAAAATATAAATTTAAAATTGTTTTTTATTTTAGGAGATACCAACATTTCTCCCCATCATGAGAGGAACTTTGGGTCTGCCCGGGGCACGAGATCCTGAGGTATTAGAAGGTAAGAGTTATGTCAATTTTACTCATACAATTAAAGAGCTTTAACCAACGGTAACCAACGGAGGGTAACGGATTAAGAATACAGAGTGTCACCACCCCTATTCACCCCGACTAAGCGAACGAACTACGCAGGACAACAGCACTGCAGAGAGAAGGCAAACTTGACACAAACAATAAACCAACCCGTCTGGCCAGCGTGGTATAGTAGGTCAAACCCTCCTTGCTAAGGGGAGGCCTATGTCCAGCAGTGGACTGTTAAAGGCTGTTAATGATGATGATGACTGCTGACCTAAAGGCCGACCATGCAAGTAGGCGGTAGGAGGGGTTGATTCCGACACGTCGCCGCATTATTGTTACACCGCAAAGAGTCTTAAAATAAATTGGGACCAGATAATCTATATAAATAAAAATAAATTACCAGATGTGTTGTTCTCGTAAAACTCGAGAACGGTTAGACCAATTCAGCAAATTTTTCATATTTCCGTTGGGGCAAAAGGTAGGTTCTTATGGAGAAAAAAAAGGAAAAATTACGAGGAAAATCATAAAAACAAAATTTTTTTTTAGTTACCAAACCACAGAGTAAATTAAAACACCTATCCCTAGCTGTCATATATTTGACGTTAATCAAACCAAAAGCCGCGATAGGATAGATATTAATCAATGCCTGCACAAATAAAGTTCGAAGAAAAGTGTTCACTCTAAAATAGGTTTTTTTTTTCTGTGATAGTCGGGGCAGATAGTTATAAAAAAACCCGACTGCAATCACATCAACAGCCTTTAACAGTCCACTGCTGGACATATGCCTCTCCTTAGAAAGGACGTTTTGGGCCTACTATACCACGCTGGCCAGACGGGTTGGAATAGGGTTTGTGTCAAGTTTCCTTCTCTCTGCAGTGCTGTTGTCCTGTGTATTTCGCTCCATTAGTCGGCTGTTACGACACCCACGGGATGAATAGGGGTGGTAACACTCTGAATTCTTAATCCGTCACCACACGGCGACTGCAATGTATACCTAAAATTTAATTTTGTAATCTAAAGACACTTTCTACGCCATTATTTATCAAGCTGTTTAGACTATATAGCGTGCTAAATTAATATACATATGTATACGTACATTCACTCGAAGACATGACCCTCCCTTTGACGCAGTTGTGTAAAATAAAATAGAAGAGTAAACCTAATAAAATAAAAAATAATGATGTCACTGGCACTCAAATTATAATCTGTTACATGAAGGCATTTAATACGCTTTTGCCTATACCTTTGGGGATAATTATGTTAGTGTATGTAATATGTATGTTTAAATTATAGCATATAAATTCCTATGGAAATTTTTTCTAGGTTTAGACTACAGGCCGTGGATCCGTGTGACGACCCGTCTCCAAGCTCACCTGGCGGCGTGTGCGCATCCTTTGGCAGCTGAAGAGATATCTCTCGCCTCTAAGATCAAAGAGGTACATGCATTGATATATAAAAGAACAATAAGAAAACAAAATTTAAGTTTAAAGATAGCTTCAAATTTCAATTTTGATCGTTTTAGGCTTAGCTTGGCTTAGCTTACGAAATTGACAATGATATCCGTGTGGTGACGGAGTCAGAATACGGAGTGTCACCATCCTTATTCATCCCTCAGGTGTCGTAATAGCCGACTAAGGAACCCAAACTACGCAGGACAACTGCAAAGAGAAAGAAAACTTGACACAGACCCTATACCAACCCGTCTGGCCAGCGTGGTATAGTAGGCCTCTCCTTAGAAAGGAGGTTTTGGCCTATGTCCAATAGTGGACTATTGAAGACTGTTGATGTGTGCTGAGGTTAAGGAACTTAGGTTTGCGCCATAGCCATTGCAGCTTAATATCTGAAATAGCTGATTAGCTTTAGGCGTTTGTTTTCTCGAATTTGCCCTTGCTTAGAGGACTTTTCGAGAGATTCGAGGAGTCCAGACGGTTTAGTAAAAAGGATACATGTTTCAGAGAAAAGCTTTTGTCAGCGACTTCACCTGCATTTTTCCATCTATCTACCAAATTTCATCCAGGCTCGTTCAGCCGTTTTTTTGTGATTGACTAGCGAACATGCATCAGTTAAAACTTTAGTAATAATTATTATAATGTGATGGCAAACATATTTTATTTTTATTTTGGATGTCCATTGTGTATGCTCACCTTTTAAATATCTTTTAAATATCCTACGGTAATTTTAAAAGTTAACAAAAACCTATTCTATGAGTTTATCTATCAAATGCAATAAGTATTTTTTTATTATTTGACTAGTAATATAATCTCTTCAGAAGTGTCTTCAGCTTGAGCGATTGTTTCCCAGGCGGACACAGAGATCTCCCGGCTGTACTCGCAGCTGGTGGACCGGCAGAGAGCCAACGCGCGTCACGCCGAGCGCCTCGCGCGCGTGCACGAGGTCTCGCACCAGCTCGCCAGGTGCAACTCCTTGCTGCATCAGGTAAGGTTATACAGCATTCGGTTATATGCCTGCTCTGGGTGTTAGTGATCCTGTTACTGCTGTCACTGGACTACTGAAATATTCGAACTCAAACTGAAAACATCTTTATTTTATAAAAAAAAAATTGTTTGAAATCGTCTTTTATGTAGACTCTAAAGTAACAACAATTAATAGATCAACAACACACACACAATAGCAACAGTACCTGTTTTGTCAAATAGCATAATAAATTTAATAAAAATTATACTTATACAAAATCTACGATATGTCCGTTTCCAAGGGGTTGAGCCTTATGAGAAGAAAGGGCAAACAAACTCATGGTCACTCTTTTGCAATTTACAGATAGATACAATGGCATCATTAAATATACCAAAACATTGTTTCGATGTGCTTATGTCCGTTATTAAGGACTAAAAGGTAAAAAGACAATAAAGAGAAACATAATACTAAGAAAAATAATAAAAAAAAAAATAAAAAAAAAAGTGAAGTGAAATAAAACATAGAAAAAATGAAAAATAAAACACCCTAGCCCACATCACATTTTTACATAAGAAATAGCCTACGCTAAATTAATCCCAAGCATTTTTGTCTTCTATGTAATCCACAATTGACAATAAGCTTTCTGACATAATTTACGTGTCATTGCGGCTTTAAATTTGTTAATACTAAAGTCTTGAATATTATTGTGTAGTGCATCTGGTTTATGCTCGACTATATACTTAACTATTGCAAGGAGTGAAGCAACGGAAGTGGTAATGGGAATATCTACCCATAGACACCTGCATCTCAAAAGACATAAATGTGTTGCTAGAGGGACGACCGTACTTCCTTCACTCAGTAGAGAGATCACTTCACTAGATCTCATGTCGAGCTTCTAGCAAACTTCTCAAACTCTACACCTTAGTTAAAGTAACGTAACGAAAGTAACGAAACAGTAGCACTTGTAGTAACGAAACAGTTACTACAAGAACTATTGTATAAAAGAAAAGTAATAAACAGAAAAATAATAACCTCGTTTATAATTAGAGGCCTTTGTCCAGCAGTGGACTATTTAAGGCTGTTGATGATGATGATGATGATGAATTAACAGTGAATAAATATTCACCTCACGCCCATTTGACGGTGGAAAAACGGCGAAGCCACTTATTCTGACTAAGGTGTTTTAAGTTAGAAGTTTGATTCGATATGAGATCTGATAACTTTTTGACGGTGCGAACCATATGGAGACCATATGGTTCGCACCGTCAAAAAGCCAAGGCAACATTTTACATGAATATATTTTTGGTGGGATTGTCTATATTCTGTCTTGAATACCATTTAATTAATACCTGTGTTATGCAAATAAACAATCTGAATCTGAATATATATAAAAATGTAAAGTTGGTTTGTGTACGCTTCAAAAAGTTATGCGTATTTAGATGATAAAAACCTACTAAAATACCTACCTTTTTACAGACACTGCAAGACGCAGAAGAATTAAACGCACTATTGCCAGAAGACAAACGTTTGGAACCATTCGTGTGGAATATAGAAGAAGAACGTTGAATTATTCTTCTAAAGAAGAGAGTTTCACTCTTGAGACCAGCCGGTCTCATTGAACGCAAGTTCTAGAAGAATCCCCTTCCAGTTGATTAGATTGTGAAATGCCCTTTCTTAAAAAAACTCCAATATGAGATGACAAATGTACGGTCACAAATTAATTTGTATCCTAATCCTGACCGGATAAGCTAGAGGTCGTGGGTTCAATTCCCACCCAGACCAAATAATCGATGTGATTTATCTATAATTTTTATGTATTTAGTAATATATTAGTATGTTTATTAGCAGTCTGATTGCCATAGTATAGGCTTTACCTAGTTTGATATCAGACGATCTTGTGTGCTGTATACAGCAACAAAATTATATTATAAAGATGCTCACGAGTCATCATCATCAACAGCATCTACTAGTCCACTTCTGGACATAGGCCTCTCCTTAGAAAGAAGGTTTTGGCCTACTATACCACTATGGCCAGACGGGTTGGTATAGGGTTTGTGTCAAATTTTCCTTCTCTTTGCAGTGCTGTTGTTCTGTGAAGTTTGTTCCCTTAGTCGGCTCTTACGCCACCCACGGTATGAATAGGGGTGGTGACATTCCGTATTCTTAAACGTTATATGACTACCGGCGCCCATGAACATCTCTACTTCTAGAGTCATAAATGCTTTGCCGCCTTTTGTCTTCCTCTTCCTCAATCAGGGAGGGAGGAAGGGTTGGGCTCCGGTAACCTCAATCACTATGTAAAAACCAACGAATGAATTATTAGGGATTAGGCTGAGGTAAGGCTGTGACTACGGTCAGTACAACCTGGTCGAAACGACGGTCAATTTAAAGTTATGTAATACTTATCTCACTTGATAGCGTTAATTGCCGTAAATGTACATAATTACTCTGCTTAAAAATAATAATTTTCGGACACAAACAACGCCATCTAGTTTTAAACTAAGCAGAGCTTGTACTATGAAAGCTAGATGAACTGTAATACTGTGGAGGAACGGGTGTCATGTCCCTCCAACACAAAGGGATAAAATATGTATGTATTTAGAAATATATAAGTATGTTTATCAGCAGTCTGGTTACCATAGCACAGGGTTTGCTTAGCTTGGGATCAAACGGCCGGCCAGAAATATCAGGGAGCGCGAAAGTTTAAAGTGTATGAGGTGAACCCAGTTATTAATATTATTATTTAATTAATAACACTTATATGCTTATAAGAATACTTATAAATCATTGCTAAAGGTCTATAAATATTTTATTTTTACGCCATCTAACGGAGACACACCGAACTATATAGTACCTACTAAACCTGTAACGCGCTATGAGATTTTTCGTACGTCGAATGATAACATCGCCTAGTCAGAAGATATTACCTTCGTGTTGGAGAGACATGAAGTTAGCTGCCGTTCCTCCAGACCTTCTGAAAGTCATTTTAAATGAGATTTAATCCAAATGATCTCGTTGGTTACAACGTAATGTGGTTGTATATAGTAACCTACACTTTAGTTTTAGTTATAAAACAGTGGTGCTAATTCTTTTGTTCGAAAACTCTCTAAGCTAAACTAAAAATTACTAAAAAATAGTTTAGTTCTGCCAAACAACGTGTCTTATTCTGAAAACGTAATATTTGACAGGACAAAATTTTTTTTTAGTGATTTTTAGTTTAGTTTAGAGTTTTCGAACAAAAGTATTAGTACCATTGTATTACAGTAATATAACGGAATACTAATTTATAATAATTTATATTTTATAGTCAGTTATAATAAAATATATTCAGCTTTTTAAGTTTATTGTTTTATTTAGAAGGTTTCTTTTTGATTGACCACTGTTAGCAACCCAGTTGCATGTGTCCCATAGCCGTGGTATATCTGATCATCAGATGACCCGTGGCTCGACACTACACTCCCTCAAGACGAGAGGTGCGTGCTCCCTCTCTTGGAATATTTGATTTCACTCCGGGCGAGCGGTATATGTGTTTATATAACAAAGAATAAAACCTTCCAGGCTTCGAGAAAAGAGTGCACTCCTTCCTAAAAGGCTGTCAACTTGTGACTTGCAGAGAGAGTAGAGTTGCAGGAGTTTATGAGTGGCGGTAGTCGCTTTCCATCAGGTGACCCTTCTGCTTGTTTGCATCATAAATTATTGTTCTTAAATACAAGGAAACATGATGTACATTATGTGGATTTTTTCGGACTAAAACCGGTCGCAATTTTCTACTATCATCCCTTAACATCTGGAAAATTAGCTCTCCAGCAATGTGCGCTGTGCGCCAACTTTACCTCGCTCAACCAATCTGTGTGGCAATGCGGCATTTCCGGACCGATGCGACCTTCAAAGCTTCAAGAAAAGAGAGTCCTTCCTTATTCTGAACTCATTTCTGAGTTGCAGGCGTTCATAATTGGCGATAGTCACTTTCCATCTGTTGGCCCTTCTGCTTGTTTGTGTTTGCATCATAAAAAAGGCGAAAGTATTGGTAGTTAATAGAGGAAAACAGAAAACGTTTAAGATAATAAAGACAAATAAACTAAAATCAAAATATTGCCAACACATAAATACACAAACTTATATTATGTACAGTGTTCATATTCATATGTGAAAAGAATACTTCGTAACCCTCTGAAACAAATATGTAACAATCTAATTATTGAAAAAATATATAAAAAATTTGATTGCGTGAAAATTTACCTCTAAGATTTACAAACCGGCGATTTTAATTTTCATAATTTTCATATACCCACTATCACTGACAATAGGCTAGTTGTCTCGATTTGAAAACTTAGTCAATTATATACCTTAATATCTATTTTATCCCAAAAAACCTATATTTTTAAGGAAAAGCAATATTTACATTACGTATTTTGTATTTAAAAAAACAATTTAAATTTCCCTTGAAAACGCTGAAAATTGTCATAGCGCCTTGAATGACGTCACAGCCTGCAAAACAAAACTGTTTACATCTGTGTCCAATATGCTAAAAACGAAAAACAAAAAGGAGTAACCTGGGCCTCAATTCTGCTATTTTATGTTTACGCAAAGCCACTGTCATATCACTGACACGCTATTGAGATGCCATCGAGTGGCCATTGGCATCGGTATTAATTTTCGGTAGTCTGCACTAACTCAGTGTCTTTACAGTGACAATGGAATGGTAATGGCTCATCAGTGGTGATATCAAAAAGATTGCCATGTTTGGAAAAATAAATAAATCATTTAATTATAATTTGAAAATGTATTACGTTTTTTTTATTTTGGTACATGAAGTTGTTATGAATTTATCATATTTATTGTTAAAAATGTATAAACTACAACGACATAATACACCGTAATTAATAAAATTATCGTTGGCTGTTTGTAAGTGCTATTGCCAAACGAAAAAAGTGTCACTGACTTATCTATCATTGATGGAACGGACCAGCAAATTTAAAATGCTTTCTAAAGAAATAGTAAGTACTTACTTTCGTATTTTTTAGATGTTATGGATTATATAAAATTGTATTATCTATTTCTGCAAATAAATATATTAATAAAATTATAGTTTAACACTCCATAGTGCATCATTGTCTTTACTTTGAATTTTTGTAATTCAAACTCCTAAATTCGTTGCAGAAATGGCGAGTGAGATACAATTAGATGCGTTTGATGTTCCTGGTTCAAGAAAGGATGCAGTCTGGCGAAGCGATTATGGATGGAGTGCGCAAATATATGGTGTTTCGCTTGATTGCCAGAGTAGAAAGTAGTGAGTATTAATTTACATTTGTTCTATTCTTCTAGGCACCCCTCCACCAATCTCTTTCTTTATGAGAAGGCAATAACGAAAGAAGTTAGGGCAAATAGTCCACTACGTTGTCTGCTAATTTCAACAGGCTTTCTTTATTTTAATAATATCCTATTCAAAGTTAATATTTATTTTATTCTTTTGAGGTTTATAAAAATACAAATTAAAAAGCAAAGAACATAGAGAAAATAAAAAAACAAATATCTGTGATGAACTTTATAAAAATAAAATAATAACAATGGTAAATATACATAACTTTTATTGTGAAACTAGTATAATATATTTTGTTTTCCTAAGATGATCTTCATTGTTTTCAGGAGATGGCCCAGCAACTCTCATCACCTTGACACCACTATAAGAGTGGTTATATTATATTATGGACCGAGATATTATGGAAACATTTAGAAGGTGTGCCGAATGTTGTGCATGTGCCCTTGCCATATTTGGAAGTGAAGTACTTGAGCAGCAAGCCTGAAAATAAATATTGTGAATTATATGTTGTAGTAACATTTTCTTTTTTTTTTAGAAATGTAACATCCATGACCTATAGCTGTCCCTCAAATAAAAAAAAATTCAATGACTATGTTGTTTTCTTTCTTTTTTGATAGCACACAAAATAATAAGTATTTCATTCATTGAGCCGCTGCTTTAAAATCTATAATTATTATTATTAATATGTAAAAAAACATGATAGAGTTAATTTGTCATGATAGATTCAGTTGATAGAGTAAATTTCATCAATATGTGTACTCAGTGTCTGTAGTGTTTAAACATCCCAATACAGCGCTCAACAGTATTGGGTGACATGCAAATTATAATAGCAATGCTCTGCAGTTCTTTCAATGTTGTTTAAAGCTGGAGTGATCAACCACTTGCACAAGGTGTATCACAAAGAAATTTTAACATTTTGTAATAAATTCTTTAATATAATAACAATACATTTTTAAAACTACTTGGCTACTAATTGACTAATACAAAACTGAAATATTATACAAATGGTTTCTAGACTAGTACATGTTATTCCAATAAATAGGGTATTAAGCTTAAACCAAAATAAAATGAATTTATTTTGTTTTAGTCAAAGTTATTAGGTAGGTAACTACCATCATAAAGTACCATGTACTCACCTGCTAAAAATGAATGATCTTCACCGGGACCAGCTAAACCCATTAAGTGTTGGCTGTGGATTACCGGAGTCATGGGCTGCATCAGGGATATTGGCCCGGACACACATGAT